GTGTGTGTTTGTTTTTCTGTGTTTGCACTGTGTGGAAGGGAACTTGGGGGTTGGGAGAGACAGAGAAGTCGATTGCTGCTCGCTGTCCTGGATGCACTTTACATACGCTTAGGCTCTGTCCCCAGTCCCTGGGTGAAAGGACTGATTCTCCCCGCCTCCTGTTACCTCTTCCTGGATCTGGTGTCTCCATGCGGGGCGCGCTGCCCAGCGAGGCTGACGGGTGGACTTCCCTGCAAGATGCTTTACCTTCTGGCTTCCTTTCTGTGCCAGCCCCAGTGTTTGTTTTGACTAGCTCCAGAATGGGAAAGCCACTGAGCCGACCTGACTGTCTACGTCAGAACCCGCCCTGTGTGGGGAAGGGGGAAGAGGAGGAGGACCTGAACATTGAAGACTGCTATGTGCCCCAGCGGTCCATCTACGACACCGTGCGACTCAATGAGCAGATAGACTCGGGCTCCAAGGGCAGCCTGTGCTCCAGGCACGTCAGCGAGCGGACTCTGCCCTACGGTCACCGAACTCTGGATGGGAGTTCTTTATGCTCTAACAGTGCCTTGACTACACCCAGTGCCTTTGAGCCGCGGGGTCGTGAAGCTAACAAACTCGATGAAAAGATGATCTTCGATGCACTCAAACTAAATAGTGATGTCATTCGGACCTCAGGATTACCCAAAGCTAAGTCTCATGCTGAAAAGAAAGAACATAGGCGGTCATGGAGGATGCTTGTCCCAGCCAACTTTGTGGATTATGCAAACAAAGGTGATAGCGCCAGTGTTGAACCTGCGGAGGGCTCTGAGGTTGTTCCCAAGGCCAGCAGCAGGTGCAGGTGGGGAACGAACTCCCTCACCTCTGAGGATGAGGACGCTGGTTTGTGTGGCCCCGCAGCCGAGAGAGAGGACAGACAGGACCGCGTCACGGAAGACAAGCGAAGACTGAGAAGTTTGAGCTCCGCTGATGATATTCGTGCAGCAGAGCAGTGTAGATCGTGTTTTCCTGTGAATTCCACCAGTGAACAGAAAATCCCGCTGCTTCCGTGCAGTGACGCCCACCTCGATGATCATTTCAGAGTGGCTTCGCAGGATGTGCTGCGGCTCAGCGAAACCAAACGTGCAAGTGTCCAAAGGGAACATCGTCACCTGCAGGACGACCAGAAAGGGAGTCCTGAGTATCATCCATTGATGACGCCAGGAGATGGCGGAAAGGAATCCTACGGGGCGTCACAAAGTGGGGGGAATCTGAAGGACCCCCCTCAGGATTTACCTCTTTCTCCTACAGCCCTGGGGGGTTGTGGGAACACAGGTTTGCTGGAAACTGGCACACGGTTGGCACAGTGTGATTCACAGGAGCCTGGCCGGGCCTCTGCGGGGAAAGGGGCGGTGGAGGCGGCCCACACAAAGCGCTCCCAGAAACTCAAGCCAGCAAGAAAGAAGGTAGGGCCCAGGAAAGCCGAGATTCAGGCAGGAGTGTCAGACGTTGTCTGCAATGGCTTCCAGCCCATGCAGGTAATTAACAGAAATGTGAAACTGCGATGCCCGGAGCCTCTGGTCTGTGGCAGAGTGCTCAACAGTGTGTGGAACGGGGCTGGAGCCCCTTGGTTTAGGTGGGTGGGAGGTTGACTAATGCCCACAAGCTGTGCCAGCTGCTGACAAGACCAGTGAAGAGAACCTACCTGCCTAGGGGCCTGCAGGGGGTGGCTGTCCCCTCTGTTCAAAAAGTCTCCCCATGAATTAGGCCATGCCAGACTTCTGCAGGAGCTCTGGTTTAACACTGCCATTTAAGGGCGCTTCTCTTGGGTTTGTTGACCTTGCACAGGCTTGGTCATGAGGTGCAAACAGTGTGAGAGTGTGGTGGTCTGCAGATGGCTGAGGAGCTTTTGGATGTGGTAGAAAGGTCTCCGGAGCCCTGCCTTGGGAGTGGAGTTGCCGCTGCACTGTTTTGTGCAGGAATTACAGTGCGGAACTTTCCGAGAACTCAGAAAGCAGCTTGGGAAGGAGTGCAGGCTGTTTATCAAGCCTGTAATTTTTTTCTTCCCTCTCAGATTGAAGTTCAGTTATTTTGGTACTGTTACTAAACTCTTCTGGTAAATGAGTTTTCTGTGTGTGTGTGTGTGTCTTGGGTGTGTGTTTTTCTGTGGGTTTACTGGGTAAAGTTTCTCCTCCCATGTATTATGTTACCACCAAGAGATAAGGAATTTAGTCAGGATCAGGAAAAAAACCCAACAACCAACAACTGCCCTAGTCTCCTGGTTTTTGAATACCTAGCAAGCGGCCTGCAGATTTAAAAGTTTATCTGCTTTCCCCACTCCACCCCCCATAATGGATTTGTGTATTTGTAGATAGTAGATTTTTTTGTATGGTTTATACCACTTTAGAAAATGATTATAAACTCACCTACACCTGCTCAGCTCTACAGCCTTAACATTAAAGCCAAGATCAAAAGTTAAGAAAGACAATTTACTAGAACATTAGATTATTTGTCCTAAAAACATTCCCCCAAAGTATAATGTACTTACTGTCCAAGTTCCTGAAAGTAAGACACAGCATTTTGTTAGATCCCTCGCTCTTGGTAACTATCATAATGGCCAAAGCCAGTAGCAGTTTTGCTGGACCTCTCACTCTTGGTAAGTGACCATATCTACTTCGGAGAAGTAGAACTTTGAAAGTAATGTAGAAAAGAAAGAGTCTTGTTCTAAAATTCTGTTTTCACATTGCTGCAACTTCTTATTGGTGTATTGGAATTTAAAACCTTACAAATGTATGAAAAACTTTTCAGTTCAGTTCTTCCTGGTTTGGGAGATTTTATCATTGCTTTAATTATATATAGCTGATTTTTTCAAATATCCAGTATTTTTTTTTTTTTGGTCAGTCATAGGACTTGAACTCTGGGCCTGAGCGCTGTCCCTCAGCTCTTCAGCTCAAGGTGAGCACTCTACCGCTTGAGCCACAGCACCACTTCTGGTTTTTAAGTGGTTTATTGGAGATAAGAGTCTCACAGACTTTCCTGCCCGGGCTGGCTTTGAATAGTGATCCTCAGATCTCAGTCTCCTGAGTAGCTAGGATTATAGGCATGAGCCACTGGTGCCGGGCTGTATCTAGTATTTTTATATAGGGAACAGTTAGCCAGTATGGAAATTGTTTATAATGAATTTTCTGTGAAAGAAAAATCAGCTTGGACTTTTGGCTACCAAAGGACTTGTAGAGGAAATGATCACTAATTTGTAGCAACATAGGAGTGTCCTGTGTGCTAGGCAGCAGGCCACGTCTCGAAAGTTTGTCTCCTGTAGCCTCTCCATCTTTCAGAATTGTTTCTTTACACCGTGCTTGTGATTTTCTTGTGTGATGCTGGTGGCTTCTGGCCCCAGGGACCCCAGGACCTCGTGCATGTGAAGCAGGTGCTGTCACGGAGCCTCAGCCATAGCCTTGAAGTGCTCTTGTAATATTTGCCTTTATTCTGTTGTCATGTATTCTGTTTAACCATTCCTTTATTATTTATGTAATGACTCAGAGCGCCTAACCATATTTTACCCTAATATTTGCCTGCAATTACCTTTCCTTAGTGAAAATAATAGACATTTCTCATGCATTCTCCAGGCCCCGCATTATACACATTCATGCTGACTGTGCGTGAACTGGTGTGTCTGCCCCCAGTGTTATCTGATAAGAGACTGATGACATCCACCTGAACACACAGCTGTAATTTTCCTATGCTGTTTTCAATTCAGCAAATAAACATTGGGCACATATTTCATTCAAGAGACTGTGATAGGCCCTGGCCCTAGAACTAGGGCAAAGGAAGCAGATAGTAATGGAATATGAAGTGTACTCCAGCATGTTGGCCCCTGAGTTGGCTGGGGAGCACTGGCAAGCACTGGGGAGCCAGGGATCCCGGGCTGCTGTGCCCTGACATGTGGCAGACCGTCCCGCAGGAGAGGGCCCTGTGCCAGGCTGAATGACCTCGAGGGCTGGTGGTGTCCGCACCCCAGCCATCTCCACACATGCTTGTCCCTTTCTTGTCTTGCCTTTATCCTTGGTGCCCTCGAAGGCCATGCTTGACTCTTCCTGGTACTGTACTGTAGCTTAGCAGCTCTGGCAGGCCGTGTGCTTGGCATCTAGATCACTTCATCTTGCCCGTGGCCTTGGCCGCCACTTCCTGTCTCAAGCTCCAGTCTCCAGTGTGCAGTGCCATCCTCATGGGCGCCTCGAAGGAGGCCTGGCCCAGCCATGCCCATCCTCATGGGCTCCTTGAAGGAGGCCTGGCCCAGCCATGCCCATCCTCATGGGTGCCTCGAAGGAGGCCTGGCCAGCAGCTCCATCCTCATGGGTGCCTCGAAGGAGGCCTGGCCAGCAGCTCCATCCTCATGGGCTCCTTGAAGGAGGCCTGGCCAGCAGCTCCATCCTCATGAGTGCTTTGAAGAGGCCTGGCCCAGCAGCACCCATCTTGGCTCCATCTTAGCATCTTTCTCCTGTTTCCTCTTTGGTGACTGCGGCTTCATGGGATTGGGGTATCGCGGCGCGGCACCTTTATGGACCTCCTCTAAGAGGAGCCTCCTTTGCTCTCACTGTGTCCATGGAGTTTTCTCAAGTCATGGGTCTTACCACTTTGCTCCTTAGCATTTTCCAGAACTCTTTTACTACAGTTAATTGGAGATAATAGGCTTTCCTGCTTTGATAATGAGGCACTAAGGAGACACATAATTCTATCTTCTTAATTTTGTAGGTAGTCTGATTTGATAAACTTAGCGTATCTCTCCTTGGTTCTCAGTGACTTCACTATGCTGCAGATTTATTTTTGTGTTTTGATTTCCTTCTTTGTTTTGTTTTTCTTTTTGCCTTGATATTGTTACTCAGACCATAGGCGTGGCACGGGCACAGGCTCTGACCATGAAGCGTTTACCTCTACAGTATTGATAGCGTTGACTACGTGGTGGCTAAGTCATTGCTTGTTACAGACTTGGTTGTTGTTCAGAAGTGGAACCCTTCCCATTATGGGTCTTCCCACTGCAGGCGTTCCAGAAAGAAGAGATCGAGCCCCTGCAGGGGAAGCAGCAGGACATGAACTGGCTGGGCCAGGGCCTCATTCAAAGTGCGGGCAAGGGCACCAGCACGCAGGGCCTGGAGCAGGACCTGGACGAGGCCAACGTGCGGTGGAAGATGCTCAACAAGAAGGTACGACCCTCCTAGCGCTCCTGTCCATGACCCCTCGTCCACTTCCTGCACGTGGCTGCCCTTCACGTGGCTGCACACTGCATGGCCCACCCAGCTGGAGCGAACGGGGCCCGGGGCCCGTCCCTGCCAGTGTCTCATCAGGACAGAGACACAGCCGCTGGTGCTGCAGCTCTGCTGGCCAACCCTTGGCCCGTGGCCCGAGCCAGAAAGCATGCACACCTCTGCTGCGCGCAGCCTCTGCCCCCAGCTGGCCACGGACGAACTGACGGATGGACGCAGGCTCCATGCTGCTGGGTAGTCATCTTTCAAAAGAATCTGGAGTCCATCTCCCTCC